GACCTACATGCAAAATAATGCGGAGTACAGCTCATTAGAGACCTCAACGCGCACCCTTAAAACCTAAAACCTTTCTTTCTACTCCCAAACCTAGACCCTAAACCCTCAACCCTAAACCCAAAACCCAAAATCTTAAACCTTAACAGCAACCCAGTAGGGTTTGCAGCTGGCGCCGGCTCCTGGCTTCCTCCGAAGCTTCTTGGAGGACATGCAGGAGCTGCATCTTGATCCGTTTTTGGGGTTCTGGGGGTTTAAGTAGGATTTAGGGGTTTAGGAGTTTGGGTTCAGGGTTTAGGGGTTTGGGTTGTGGGTTTAGGGTTCGGGGTTTGGAGGTTTGCGTTTAGTGTTTAGGGTTTGGTCCAAATCAGTGGGTCCCTTCAAGGGGTTTTCTGGGCGGTATACAGGGTATGTAAAGGGTCATTTCATGATTACAGGGTAAGCGAGCCTTGAAATATTAGGAGGGCTGTATGGTTTATTCGAGACACTGTACTGTATGGATCGACTCGGGCCAACATGAGCTATAGCCTAAACTCCTTAGCGGGGTTATATAGGGGATTTCTCATGGGAGCGTTATGGGGATTAGGAGTTTAGACGACTATAGCTCAGGGGATAGTTTCTCGACCCAGGCATGATGCAGCCATGCCACAGTACGACGTGCGCGAATTTTTAGCCTCTGATCGACTCTTCAGCCATGGGCCCTTTAGACTGGACAAAGATTGCCGGATCTATTGAGCGAAATTATCTGAAGTATGACGGCTTTGTGGTGATTATGGGCACAGACACTATGGCATATGCTGCATCAGCATTAAGCTTTATGTTGGAAAACCTTGCGAAACCTGTTGTGTTCACCGGCTCCATGATACCCCTCGCTGAGCCTTACAATGATGCCCGCCGAAATCTGATCTTGTCGATGCAATTTGCAGCCGCACGGCAGAGCTTCCCTGAGGTAATGATCTTCTTCAATGACCGTCTTTTGCGGGCCAACCGCGCCACTAAATATTCTGCAGACGGACTAGACGCATTTGGGTCCCCTAATTTCCCGCCATTGGCTACTGTTGGGACCAGCGTGCGAGCCCGGACAGATTTGGTAGCGGCACACCCGAGAGGCTACCTCAAGGTGCATCCAGTTACTGATGCACCTACGGCCTAATTCGACGAAACCTCATCATTTTTCATTTAGAGCACCCAACCCAACAACAAGTAAATGTAAACATAGTGACTAATATCTCATTGCCCAGGCACATGTGCTGGTGATAAGGCTGGTCCCTGGATTCGATGCCGGAGTGTTATCGATGATCGTCGAAGCTAAGCAGTCTTTGCGCGCACTTGTCTTGGAGACGTACGGTACTGGGAATGCCCCAGTGCTCACTGCTGTTGCTGAGGCTCGGAAGCGAGACCTTCTGGTGATCGTTTGCTCCCAATGCCCCCAAGGCTGTGTGGACATGAACCAGTACGCTGCTGGAGCTGAGCTTGCAAAGTTGGGAGTCGTGTCAGCTGGGGACATGACTACCGAAGCCACGGTGACAAAACTGGTTTATCTGCTGTCGTACTACAACACTGATGAGGTCGCTCGGAAGATGGGTGACGACTTGCGTGGCGAGACTACCCGCCTGGACAGCGCCTCTGCTCCATGGAAGCGGACGTCACTGATGCGTTTAACGTCAGACAAGTCACAGGATTTGCGTTTTCAGCTGCAAAGATTGATCCACAAGCCCTGGGAAGTTTTTCAGTAGCTTGTCCGACTCACCCAAGGCATGCTGAAATGGTCGGCAGCGCAAAAAGCAAGAAGACGTGGAGGGACGTATGTATTCGCAAAGTTGCTACTGATGGGCTTGTGCTTAATTGTACGACCTATGGCTTCCAATCATCCCCGATGTGTCTCGTATGACTACAAGAATGCTTGCGTGCAAAGCCCTCAACAACAACCTGGTTCCTGCTCGCCGAAAACCTGTACTAAGATTACTATTAGCCAAATCCCAAGTACCGAATTATTGGATACTTGGACCCTTTGGGTAACGTCCCTGAACCCTATAGACCTTAGGAGGACCCCCCACCCTGTAATAGTGGTATACTAGGAATATAAGAGGACCCCAATATAATCCCTATTATCCCTCATAGTCACTATTACTGGGTGGGGGGTCCACCTAACCCCTAAACCCTAAACCCTAAACCCCAAACCCTAAACCCTAAACTGTCCACCTAGTATAGACCCTAGGTTCTTGCAAGCTACGACAGGAAGGAGCCTTAGCATTCGCTCTTCAATTTAGGCTCCTTTTCCCCTACACCATCCTTGCAGGATCTGGGTTTAGGGTTTAGGGTTTAGGGGTTAAGGGGTTTAGGGGTTTAGGGTTTAGGGTTTAGGGGTTAAGGGGTTTAGGGGTTTAGGGTTTAGGGTGTAGGGTTTAGGTGTGCAATCCCTCCATTTCCTATAAACTCTAACCATACTTCTATGATCATGAGTGTTCGCTGTTGAAGGGGCGCCTTCTTGTGTTTTAACGAGTCCAGCATCACCAACCTCCACACTGGAAAAAAGGATCCTAGTTCTACTGGGGTGCTGTTAGAAACTTTTTTAAAGTTACTGTAATCAGGACACCCTTTATCTGCCATATACCCATATCCTGTAACTTGTTCTACGTTCCTGAACAGCCACCCCGACTGGCCCTACACTTCGCCCCGAGTTGTGAAGTTGTGAACCCTGAACCCTAAGCCCTAAACCCTAAACCCCGAACCCTAAACCCTGTTTTGTGGCTGCCTAAAACTCAAAGCTCAAGACTCGAAAACCCTGCACCTGAAGCCCCAAAGCTCTACTGGGGAATATTATGGAATATTCAAAATTCAAGCCCTGTCAGGGGGATGTTCGTGTTTAGCGGCACAATCCATATGAGCTATAGTCTAAACTCCTAGTTTACATTATAGCTCATACGCTGAGTCTCTGACTCGTGGGCTTTTTACTGGTGCCCAAGCTACATGTCGGGCCAAACAACTCGCATCAGCGGACGGACGGCGGCGCGGGATTCCGAATCTCGGCGATGAGCCATACTCCAAACTCCTTCAAGGGCGTTAGATAACGGTTTATGTGCAGAACTACTTAAGTGTTTATTATAGAGGATACTAAGAGTTTAGACTATGGCTCATATTGCAGCTGATGCGCCATTGTGCTGCGCCGGTCCAGTTTGCACCCCAAGCCCAAATCTCCGGAAGCACTTAGCCGCTTTCCTCCCCAAATGCAATATTCATCCCCTCCCCCTAATATTAAACCTACCCATTCCCCCTAATATTCAGTACTCCCCATATATTATATATCACATAATGGGAGCATATGATATTAGGAGGGTGGGGGGGTTCAATATTAGGGGAGGAAATTACATTACATGTTCCAGTTTCTTTTCCATTTGATTTTCCGTTTTCTTTTCATCTGGCTCTCCATGATTCAGGCCCTTAAGGCCCTAAGCCTTGGATACGGCCCCCGCTCGTTGACAGTTGGATAACATTCAGAATACGATTATGTGAGTGTTCACGGAAATTTGGGATCCCTTTCTGGGGGTCCCTCATTATGAGGATATAATACAATGGGGTATTACTGGGATCCCCCTAGGTGAGGAAACTACCATATATAGCTTCAAAATGACTTCTATCATGGACTGTTAATGGGTGGGGGCCCCTAAACCCTAAACCCTAAACCCTAAACCCTAAACCCTTGGACCCAAGCTAAACCCTTCCCTTTGCGCGGAGGCCGCGCGGAGCCATGCTTCAAGTCTACTGGGCTGTCTCGGCGACAGCTGCTACATGGCCCGGGGCTTGGCGTTGATAGCTTGAGGCTGATATAGTTTAGGGTTTAGGGTTATGAGCTATAGTCTAAACTCCTTAATGGGGGGTTATATAGGGGATTATATAGGGGACTACTATAGGGCTTATTAAAAGGGATACTAGGAGTTTAGACAATGGCTCATATAGACATATATAGGATTGAACATTTAGGGGTTTAGGGTCTAGGTCCAATCACCTACCGTCTGGTAGTAGTTATATACCCCCATATTAGTGGGTAATAACCCATCAATCTGGAGGTACTGGTTGTTGCAGGTATGGGCTGAGGGGGTATGATATAGGAGCGTGGGCATTTAGAATAGGGCTTCCGGGCAAAGTGTACTCTACTGTATGAGGGGCTAGGTGTTTCTCAAGGGTCTAAACCCTGAGCCGCTAAACGATTGAGGGGCTCGGTGTTTCTCAAGGCTACATGTAGCGGAGGGCTAAGGGCTTCCTGGAGTTGGAGGTTTTGATGGTTATTGGGATTTCTTCGGGTTTCGGGTTTAGGGCATAGGGGTAATATAGGGGATATATAGGGATAATGGAAAAGAAAATGGAAGCTACAGGGATTATAGGGATTGTACAGGGGTTACGTACTCTTGCGGGGCGTGGGGAAATGTGCAGGGTTGGTGCTTAGGGGCTATGAGACTCATCTGGTGAAAAGAAATTCGGGGGTCAATGAAATCAGGCTCGTCACCACGTATCTGCCCTTACACTCTTTATGGACATACGGTATTCTATGCCACACATGTACCTCAAGCATTGCCCCCGATGATGATTGAGAAACCTAAACTCAAACCCTTGTATTCGGGTGGGTTTGATGAGGGGATTCTGCGCCGTGCCACCTCGTCGCATGGCTTTCATGTTGCGAGCTTTCCATTTCAATTAAACTGGCACAGGCTTCTATTTGCTTTCTCGTTTGCACACTGCCTCAGTACTCTTTTATCTGCACCCAACAATGAGAGCAATGGTTTCCGTGACGCAAATGACCTGCATAGCGTCGCAAGCGGCAAAAAAAATGGCCCAGGTAAAGCTGGGCCACTGTCACCATCCAGGGCACCCTGTCGGGACCCTGGTGTCTCCCTGAGACCACCCCCTGCCTCCCAAGCACTTGTGCGCCCGGGCCATCACCATGGAAAGCGCGGCTGTCCCCGACTGCGAACGGTCCTTGCTTTGGCCGTGGATATCAACCTATTTGGGGGTTTCCCAAAATTAGGGGTACCATTTTGGGGGTCCCAATAATAAGGACTATAGTATTTTAGGCTCTATATTGGGGTTCCCTTATTTAGGGAAACTACCATTTGACAAAACAGCCACCCCGAAAGCCAGAACCTGGAAGCACATCACGTCATGCCCAGTCTCCGAGTGAATTGCCTTAAATAGCTTGAACTCAAGGTGGTCATGGGGTGGGTTTGCTGCAACGCACCAGTGCGAGCGGCAAAGGTATGCCCCCCCCCCCGCGAGCACCCTATGCCGTGACCGCGCCCTACACCCCAAAACCCCCAAACCCAAAACCCTTAACCCCCTAAATCCTAAACCCCCTAAACCCCAAAACCCCAAAACCCCCAAACCCAAAACCCTAAGCCCCCTAAACCCCAAAACCCCTAAACCCAAAACCCTAAGCCCTAGACCTTAGCGAAGCTGCCAGGTGCGAGCTGCAGCGTGCAGTGCCATTGGAGCCTGTCGAGCTTCGGAGGCCGGGGGTGGAATTTAAGGGTTTAGGGTGTAGGTTTTTTTTGTTGTTTAAGGGGTTTAGGGTTTAGGGTGTAGGGGTTTAGGGGGTTTAGGGTTTAGGGTTAAGGGCTTAGGGTTTAGGGTGTAGTTTTTTTGTTTAAGGGGTTTAGGGTTTAGGGTGTAGGGGTTTAGGGGATTAAAGGCTTATAGATGGGTGCGGTGCTTGGAGCATGTGTCGGAGTTGCTTCCGGAACTGGTTCTAGTGCCGTTGAGGATACCTGACGGGGTTTTCTCAATATTCTAGGGGTTTAGGGTTTAGGGTTTAGGGTTTAGGGCTAAGAACTCTGCGCACACTGACGGAATTGAACTTTGAAGAGCAGTCCCTCAAAGCGGGGTAATTGGGTAGGTTCCGATTTGCATGGGGGTCAGGGCCATTTGAAAGGCTTCCCCAAGCCCTGCAACTTTACCTCTGAATTGGCAGCGGTGCATACCTCCTGATTCTGTGACCTTCCTAAACCCTAAACCCTAAACCCTAAACCCTAAACCCGCTGTAGATCCACTCCCGAACCCGTCTCCTTCATGGACCCGTCTGCTTGTTTTCGTGCTCCTAAACCCTAAGCCTTGAATCCTAAACCCGAAGCCTCACATCCTACATGCCTCACCTACTTAATACAGAAGCCTAAATACTAATCAGTTTTATAGTCCTAGCTCGTATATAGACCTGAAACCGATATAGACCATGATTTCGGCTAATCCCGTTCTACCCCCCTATGAAGGCACGTTCCGTTGTGTTCCATTTTCTTTTCTGTCTGGTTCTCCGTTATAACCCTAAACCCTAGGCCCAAAACCTAACCCTTAAGCCCAAAATCCTACATAGGCTCTAAGCACGAAAACACATAATATGTAAGCCCAAACCTAAAAACTGGTGCTATGGTTCTAGACTCCTTGCAAAACAAAAGCCCAAGCCCGCCCGTAAACCCCAAACCCTAAACCCCAAAACCTTAACCCCTTACCCCCAAACCCTAAGCCCTGAATCCTAAGTCCTAAACACACCAAAACCCTAACCCCCTAAACCCCCTA